AAGAAACTACACACAGGGAGAGAGAGACAGACACAGACAAACGTACATTCTTCCACGCACATGAGGAATGAATTTAGAGGGGAGAGCCGGTGGCAACACAGAGGTAAGAGTTGTTTTCTGCTGCTTTTAATACATAAATCTAACTGAGTCACAAACTTTCTTCTGCTGTACGTTGTAGCCTACTTAGTCACGTAACCATAACGTTACTGTGAGAGTGTCATGTAGTGAATGCACTTCCTTCCCTCTGAAGAGCAGAGATATGGATTTATACACAACTATCTAAAGGTTTCTTATGATATTATATGAAGGAATGTTAGACTTTGGAAATAAAACCTTCCCAGATTAATTTGTTATTATGACTCCACAGTGTTTGTTTCAGTTCAAATTTAACAAATACTGCTGTGCAGCAGTGTGGGAATCTCCCTGCAGGGAGCTCTGTGCTAGGCGCACAGGCATGTGAGTGAAGCAACAGGGGGTTAGTCTAAACTTAGAGCCACAAGCCCCTGTCTCATATTACTCTTTTCTATTTCCTGTGCCACATATTATACATCTACAAACCTAGATTGTACAAATACACATACACCCTGCCACAAACACCACTGACAGCATATGTTTCCTATTAGGGTTGAATGTTATATTCAAGGACTGCCGACTGTCACAATTGCATTCTAGGTTTTTTGCTGTGTGTATAGCTATTTATGGAATGTGATGATTGGAACTAGCGCGTCTGTGGCTTAACATGGCAGTAATCATATGCATTGTTTATATGAGAGTTCAGTAAAGCGGCAGTGTGCCATCATGATGTTGTGGAAGGGGCTCCGACTGCAACAAAACAATAGCTAGGTCCACAGGTGTTTGATAAAGAGAGTACTGAGACTTGTACAGTATCACCAGAAACCACTTTGAATAGTGTAAACATGTCTGTTTACAGCTTTCTGCCTCACAAGATACACATGCACATATTCAATCATGACCATTCATCTGCCACATAATCAAGATGAAATGACTGGGCTCATGCAGTAATATCAGCCTCTTTGTCTCCAGTGTGTTGAAGCAGTGGAACGATCAGGGCACAAAGGACATAAAGACGTTTATTGTCATTGTAATGGCATTCAGTTTGGCACTCTCATAAAAGCAGCAAAGATTGATATTTAAATGCAAAACAACATAAAACAAAAACCGAATAAAACAATAATAGACAATAAATAGAAAAGGAAGACACTTCATGCATTTGTTGTGTGATTTGTTTTGAATAGTACATGCAGTGGCGGCTAAACAAAGTCACAAATGCATCATATTTACAGCATCTATGTTGTAAAATCTCAGTTGCTTCCTTGACAAAAGCAAATCAATAGCTTTTTTCATCTGTGGTAGCAGTTTTATAAGCAATGTGAGGATCTGTAACCAGCCATCGGTCTACATTGTACATTTAAGTATATTGTGTACATAAATGTAAGCATTAAAAAGTGTATCATTTTCTTAAAGGTTATCAGTTCCTTTAAAATATCATGGCCTCTACTGTAGTTTGAGGATGGTGGTGTTAGCCATAAAGGTGCTGCAGACTGGGGTGTGATTGATACCATTGATACCACTGCCTGAGACCATTGCATGAGACCAGTCTGACATCATCCTAACTAAGAATGAAAAGCTTGAAATTCAGTACAGATTTCTTTGGGCAAGCCAGCAGGAGACATGGTCTCTAATTCATCTACAGAAATGTAGTTTTGCTCAAGATGCAACTTTATTTAACTATCACTCATCTCTTTATTTACTTCCCACTTTATCCAACCACATATTCATAATAATAAACCTAGAAAGAATTATTACCTGAATCTGTAGCTGCTCTCAGTTTCCTGCCACTTTAGCATGTTGGTCCGCTATCAATACTCTCATAGTATTGCATAGACAAAAAACCACTGTATAGAGTTGGTTCAGCACCAAACATTGTGAACATGGTGAACATAGCGAAGCATTTAGCAGCTACAGCCAGGTATTTTCCACAGGAGTTGGTAGGAACCAAAAACAGAGCTAAAATCCAGGACTTAAATGTGCCAGGTGTTCAGACACAAAACCTTCAGTGAATGAAAATGTTGCTCTGTGACTGCAGGATGTGTAAATAAGCAACTGTTTTTGCTAACAACTTCATTTATGCAATAATGACTATGCAATAATCTACTGTGGTGCAATATTTCAGCTCCTGGGAAGCATTGTAAATATGCTCATGTGTAATATCTTGTTCCTCATCTCTCTCAAATACTGTATATTGCCCTGCTTTAGGTATTTTTGAGTAGTTGCTCAGAGATCCTTATGGCTGAAACACAGGTTTCTTTCCCCCATTGTGGGATTAATTGTGTGAGTAATATTTGATTGTTCTTGATTTCCTGGTTGTTTAGTCTCTATTGCTGTTCCTGATTCTCTCCACTGCTGCTTTGCCCTGTTTTTAGGTGCCTTTGACCTTTGATTTGCTTATTTGTGCTGTGTAAAAAGTAACGTTCTGATGACGCTACTTTTATAATCCTTGTGTGTATCGGTCCTAATGCTTTGTTGCCTTTTGCCTTTATTTTATTTTAGGACTAAGTGTTCTTTGTTACTACGTACTTACCTACGCATGCGCCGCGCAGAGTGGCAGCAAGTTACAGCAGCTGTGTCCTTGTTGTGTTTTTTCCCGTGTTTCTATGAAGTTCTGTTCTTATGTGTCTGTTCTTATGGTGATATGTTGGTTGTTCTCTATTGCTGCTGTAACACAGAAATTTCCCCACTGTAGGCTCAATAAAGTACCTACCTACCCACCTATTTATGAACTTGAAATGTGATGATATGCCAATGTTGTTGCTATCCCAAGTGGCCAATAAATCATTTATTGCAGGTTTATAAGATTTGTTTGTCACTTGGTTGCTACAAGTTGTGGACACTGGCAGGAATATATCTTTATGGCGCATCACCTCCAGTGTGGTGTTAATGTCTCGCTCTTTATTACCACTTGAATGAACACAATTACACTACCAATAGCATTAGCCTGCAGTGTCAAACTAGAGACCTCTATCTGCAATACAGTACACTATGTGTGTTGAAGAGAACATCATAATACCAGTTGTTATTTCTATTTTAAAAAGGCAAGAAATTGCTGAATTATTTGGTATATAAGGGTTACATAAGGTCAGTGATTACAACTTTCCCGTGACCTGACCATGTACTTTGCAGTATAGATATCGCTCTGTGGTGTCTACATCATTTAGAGGCTTTACTAGTCAAAATCTGCATGGCCTTCCCCACCATCCACTGTCATCGGTCCTTAGTGGGCCGCCATCCTTATCTTCACGGTGACCTTACTGTGCAGGATGGTGTTTGCCTGGTGTGCTCATGTCATATCATCTGTTTGTGTATTACCTCACTAATAGCAGAGAGCAGAGTTGTGCTGAACTACTTGATGTTGATAAACTGATCCTTGATCTATGGCACCAAGCAACTCACACCCTCCTCACTGTGACCTTGGAGCCTGTCTCTGTGTGGCATTGCTTTACAGTGGATCAGTAATGCATTCTCCAAACAGCACACACAAAAGACACACACATTGTCACTGTGACATGCATTCTGTGCATATTTTCACTGACCTGGACACGCACGCATACTATACAACAGACAGGGAAACTCACTGAGGCCTGCCCCCCACACACTCATACCACTTGCAGAGAAAGCTTTGTGCATTCACTGACTGAGCAGCTACTGAAGAGAGAGAGAGAGAGAGGCTGGAGGGAGGAGGGAGATGGAGACAGCAAGAGACAGAAGGATTACAAAGAGAACCAGTCAGACAGATAGAGAAGAAGAAGAGACAAGGCTTTGCAGAGGGAGAGAAGAATCTCATCTAGTAAGCGTGAACTGGTGAACAGACAGTGAGCTGGACAGGAAAGGGAATACAGAAATAGGAAGGGAACAAGGCTTGTCCAGCAGAGAGGAAGAGAGTGGATTGTTCTTAAAGAAGCTAGGAGGGACTGATGGTATGGCATTGATCTCTGGGAGCTGCCAGGTCTTGGGACAGATGGCATCTTGCTGCTGTAGACCGCTGCTCAACTCCGCCTGCTGTGGACCCCTCATCAAAGTCTGCCTCTCCTCTTTCACAGGTCGGTCCCAGCCCGCACTCTGTGCTACTACGGTACCATCATGAGACAGACAGCTACATTCAGATAGACAGCAGCATAGGTCTGTTGTACATGCAACATGGGTAACACACTTAGAGAAGAAGGTAAAAAGGGCATGGTGTGTTTCTGTTCTGTAGAAGCATGAGTGTGCTTGTGTCGACACAAGCAGTCCTGTTGGTGCTAACTGTGCTCTGCATTGTAGGATGGAAAAGAATAGGCTGTTGTCCTCTTCAGCTTAATGTCATGTTGCATTGTGTTGCTAAGTTGTGAAGCCTATTGTCTTGTTGTTGAATGCTTTGCATCAAAATCAAACTATGCTGTGGTTTTGCACTGACAAAGCATGTTGAAAAGGTTTAGGAATGGTGTTTTACTTCAATTGTTGCTAGTTGTTAGTGTTTGGTTAACACTTATTTTATGTTAAATGGTGTTTAAATGGAATCTCAGTGTACAGTATGTCTAAAATCATATGACAGTGCTGACATTAAAAGTGCTTTCAGGAGTCAGGGGCAGGGTGGGTGTTTGAGCCTGGAGGTTTTTCTGATGTCAGCACAGCTGTATATCTGTGCTGGGCCTGTGTGTGTTTGACATCCACCTGTCCCGAGTGGCTTTCATTCTCTATTAAAATAACTGTTTAGCATTTTGGAAAATATACTTTCTTGTTAAACTGAGAAGCTTGATACCATTGCTATTTCTGTATGGTAAAGCTCTAGCCAGGAGCTAGTTTAGTTTAGCTAACGACTAACTAAGACTGGACTAGCTAAGCTGCTGCCTGTAGCTTCATATTTACTGTAGAAATTTTGGAGTGGCAACTATCTTTTCATCTAATGCTAAAAGTCAGCAAGAAAACAAATATATATGTTTCCAAAATGTCAAACTGTTCCTTTAAGATGCATTAATATGATGTTTGAATGAAAACCTCTGACATTTCTGATTATTAAAAACAGAGCATGGAGTAATAGTGTTTTTTATGTTTAGGTCCAAGATTGATTCACTTTCCTTTTTTACAGACATCTCTTCAGTTGAGCTGGACGCTCTTTGGAGGGAACCACCCTACAGTCTTGGTGGAGCAAATGAACACTTCTCAGGACATGACATCATGACTCAAGGTAGAGCAGCTGCTCACAAAAACTGGATGTTGTAGAATGTTTATATCAAATTTAAATCATCATATGACAAACGCTCCTACTAGTTTGGAGTGCACAGGACATTGTTAGGCTAATTAAAAAGGTGCATCTGTCTATGCGGTCATAAACTGAGGAAGTGTTTAGGACATCCTCCTTGCACAATGGAACAAATCAGGGGAAGCCTGTTGTCACTTTCCTGCAATAGCCATGTGGCTGATATTTATAGATTTTGATACTATTAAGATCCCCTCCATGTGCAGAGTCAAAGTTAGCTTACAATACTCTAATTCAATAAATCCCAATCAGGGCTACATTGGCTCCATAGCATGTTTCTGCAGTTACCTAGGGCTACATGAAGAGACTGGAGTAGCTCAACAAATTAGAAAAAAAGCACATGCACATATATGCATTCAAATATTGAAGAAGTTAGTTAAAATTTTCTCCTTCAAGCTGCTCCTGTTAGAGGTCGCCACAGCAGAACATCAGTTGCCACCCAACTGATGATTTACATGTTAAACTTGACATATTTTACTCTGGATGTAGTCTAATTTAGAGTTGCCAGTCAACCTAATCTGCATGTCTTTGGACTATGGGAGGAAACCCACACAGGCACTGGGAGAACACGCAAACTCCGCAGAAAGGCATCTGGTCAGCCCAGGCTCAAACCCGGAATGTTCTTGATGTAAGGCGACAGTGCTAACTGCTGCGTTGCTGTGCCTCCCAAGAAAATAATGGAGCTAAAACAGCTAAAAGTAACAGATACACTGTTGAAATTGTTAGCTAAAAGTCATGTATAAACATCCAGTTCAGAATGAAGTGAAGTGAACACATTTGTAATATATAGGTCGATAAAAGAATTTTGATTTAACGTGATGTGTCTGTGGAAGTATAGGTCACCAGACACAAACATTTGAGAACCACTGCTCTAATTATGCCATGTTATAATTATAATTATGTTTCCCCCATACCATAGAACTAAATGGCAAACAGTGTTTGTCATCTTATGCCATGTGGAAACATTCCCATTTATCTCTGAGTCAGTCTGGGACTTGCACTGTGATTGTGATTACAGTCCTTATGATGACCATTGTGATAAAATTGTTTCCAGATCACACACACCTGTCTTTATCACACAGAAACCCTAAATCCAATAGGCTGTTTAGGAAACTGGCTTAACTAACACCGGAGCTTGCACAAATGAGATTATCTTTTGGCCTCGAAACAAAAAAGATAAACATCTCCGCTGGATCCAGACACTTTTTCTCAGGCTTTGTTTCCTCATTCAGGTGCAGGTGAGGATGCAGACGGTCCCACGGTGGAGTCAGGTGAAGGAGGGCTGGAAGCAGACAGCTACTGGAAGAAGAAAGAGGCCTTCTTTAGAAGAAGTACTGTGTCACTAGGAGAAAAATTCTCCTCAGGTAGTAGATGCCATAGTTTATTGCTTGTCTTAATGTGTTTCTACTGTAAAACTAGCTTTTATATGAGCCAGCATTTCCTATGCATGCTACATTTATGTATAGCAATGAAACGCATTTCCCTATCTACTTATATACACACTCAGCAGTTTAGCACGATCCATCCCATTCCCCCACGTTCTTCCACTTAAATGGATTTAAAAGGCCAAGCTGAGAGTCCAGTAAGAGGCCTAATAGCTTTATTATTCCTCCAGAGATTAACATTTGTGCTCACAAAGCATATTAATGAAATATGATCTCTCCTAAAACATCTTTAAAGAGCTCTTCAAAGTTTTGTCTTGCTTGTAAAGAACAAAACATTTCATTTCTTACAGAGAAATGCATGTACTTGTTTGTACAAGTGTAATGAACAAAAGGATTATGAATTCTGTTTTTGTTTGCTCTCTTATTGGTTACAGAATGGATGGCATGTCCTCTTGTTCTCTAAGCAACTTTTTTATCTAAGCTAATTTGCATTGAATTTGTTTACACTTTTCCATTAAGAGAAACACTCACAATAGAGTGTGATTAATCACAATGTTCTTTTTGTCTTTTTTTTTTCAGAAATTGTGCTGTTGTTCACTGGGCGAAGGCGCTCCACTGTGGATCATGATCGAGCGCTGCAGGAGGCGCTACGTACACGACTCCGGGTGGTAGAGAGCAACAGCCAGGATATCATCCAACTATTTAAGGTGAGCGACTTTCTCCTAACAGTTACATAGATATTACTGCACTAGTCAAACCTTCTGATAACATAATTAACAATAAGGTCCATTATGATAGGATAAGACACCATATTATGTAATGTGGTTTACTTATCATATATTTATTTTATGCTTAATGAAGATGGATGTTCTGTTACTGAAAAATTAGGCTTTGTTTCTGCAGGACTTGTCTGCACGTCTTGTGTCTGTCCATGCCGAGAAGGATAGCTTTGTGCTCACATTCAAGACTGTGGAGGAAATTTGGAAGTTTTCAACGTACCTATCATTGGGTAAGAAATCAAGACCTTAAATCAAGACCTGTAGACCTTAAGGGCCCTAAAAATGGCAGCAGCGTGGTGCAGTTGTTAGTGCTGTTTCCTCAAGCAATAAGATTCCAGGTTCAAGCCCTGGCCAACCTGATGCCTTTCTATGCAGCATTTGATCTCCCTGTGGCTATGTGGGTTCTAAGTGAGTACTCTGGCTTCCCCCCACAGTCCAAAGACATACAGCTTAGGTTGACCAGTGACTTTAAATTACTGTAGGAGTGAGTGTGGTTGTCTGTCTCTAAGTGTCAGCCCTGTGACAGACTGGTGATCAGTCTTTTCAGGATAAGTGGTATAGATAATGGAAACATATTTCCTCAATTGTCTTCTTTTTACTAGGATTGATAATGTCCTGCATCAACACATATATTTCCTCAGAACAGCTTTGGGCATTTCACATGGGAAATTTTATGTAATTGGGTTTTGTTTGTGCTCTGCTCATGGATTTGAAGTGGGTTAAAAAAATTATGTACTTTCAATACCAGTCAGAATTTAGCATGAACTGTATATAGAAATGGTGTCACCAATTACTGCCACCAAAATATTGTGACCACGGTGGCAGCCATCTTACCTTTGTGACACATTTTGCAACCAGATTCCGTACAGTAGTGACCGGGGTGGAGCCATAGTATCAAGCCGCCAATCAAAGTTTTCAAATCATCTGAAATGCATGCTTTTTTTATATCAACAAATAACTTATTAAAAACAAAATGAATAAAAATGGCCATTTGTACACAGATCAGTGTGATAATGTCTATCTAAATTGACAGAAAACACCTTTGGGAGCAATTAAATTGTGGTGGCTTTACTTCTAGGAGTTACCACGTCATCCATCTTTATATACAATTTATGGAATCTAGCAACAATTTAATAATAATCAGATGACAACTGTCATGTTGTTTGACTATGTTACCAGCCCACTGTCACAGCACATCAATTCAGTCTTAAAGAAGCAAACTGACTGAGTTATGAATCTTAAATCCTAAGAAAATTCTGTCTATTGATGATGTTTATTTCAAAACATTCAGTTGTAATCATTGCTTATTTTGTCAGAAATAAATGTAATGTTGCATATATGTAATAATTGTCATAGTTTTGTAACAAGGTTTTGTTGTTGAGGATGCAGTGATATTAGCATTAGAAGTATTAAATTGTGGTGGTCTGTCCCAGGCTATGTGGCTCGCTGCTTGGAGAACTTCCTGTGTGATCAGTCCTTCTGGTTGGACCCAGAGCTCCTCAGTGACTTGGAGATCAGTGTAACTGTGGACGAGGAACATCTGGCCACCCTCTACCTGGGACTTTTAGTTCAGGAGGGTCAGTACTGAGTTGTGACGTCTTTGTATGAACAGTTTTATAAATAACACAGAGGTTGAGACAGTGAAAAGGGTAATCAGTCAACTCACCAGTCCCCTTATAAAGATGTGTACACTGGAATGAAATCCAGGCAGTGAAGCTGGAATCCAATTTTTTTTTTTTTTTCGTTTGGCTAAATATTTAGTTCCTCGTGACTCTAAATAATCGTCTTTCTGTGATAGTGACAATTCAATGTATTGTTTTCTTTTTCTCTAACAACTTTCTGAATTTAGGAAGCCGTTATTGTCAGACATTTTAAATCTGCTGATTGTAATTATGCAGTAACTGGCTGCAGTTACCATTCGTTCTTCTTACTTTTAATCCATTTGCACTGACCCGACTTAACACTGAGACAGACCTGGGACTAGACTGCTGAACATGACTTTGGACAAATTGAAGCAATGGCAGCCGTAAACCTGCTTTGAAAGAGTTCCTCATACATTACCATGTGCTACCAATGTCTAAATTGCCAAAGACCTCTAATTACTAAGCAGTATGGTCCCTCTTTTATTTGTGACCAAAACTGCTCCTTGAGTAATGCTAATGAATTAAGTTTCAATGTGCTATTTTCCTGTAGAGCATTATAGAGAGTATTCTATCCAGTGTAATATGGTGTGTTATGCCAAAACCAGAAAGACTTATTCTAAGCAGTAAAAACAGCACGGTAGATTGCACTGTAGGTACTAAGTAACCAAATCTTCACAGTGCAAAGGAAAACCAGCAATATAAACAGAGACTCAGCCTACCCAGGACACAGAGCGTCCGTACATCGAGGAGGAGATACAGGGCTAGACTGAAACATAGCTTCTTTCCCATTCATTCATTCATTCATTCATTCATTCATCTTCTACCGCTTAATCCCTAAACGGGGTCACGGGGGGTGCCGGAGCCAATCCCGGCCGGCAATCGGGCGAAGGCAGGGTACACCCTGGACAGGTCGCCAATCCATCGCAGGGCTGCTTCTTTCCCAGAATTCACCCAAAATTTCTTTGTAGCTGTAACCCTTTTGCCACCCGGCTCGTTGTAGCAAGGGAGTGACTAGTTAGTATATACCCCTTCAAGATCAAATAACACAAATTGGCAAAGGGACATTCCAATGTATAACAACTTTGTCTAGGGTTCAGTATGGTTCTCACCCTTAAAACACCAATTAGAGAGACCCCAGAAATGACATTAAATTAAATAACCAGAATATGTACATCCGGTACCTGTAATTTATGGATAATTTTTTCAGAGACTGTCTCACAGTATATAAATGAAAAACACACACCAAATGCAGTTTAACTTTGTGTATTAACTAAAAGAAACAAAACACAGGTCACAGTTTTATGCAACAAATACAACAAATAATATTGCAACCCCACAGTCTACCTGGGTGCACCCTCAGAGTTTTATGCTAGCATGTGTTGGCGCGCGTTGGAGCTCGTGTTCATTCAGATCCAATGCAATAATCCTACCAGTGTGATGAAACTCCTCCTTACCAGCCCAAGAACACAGACCGTCCACACCCGGAAACCCCACGGCCCTGTCGTCGTCCCACGCAGGCGAGTGTTGAGTCTCCGGCAGCAATACCGTCAGCTTCCCTATGGCTCTCGGCGGAACAATCCACACATACGCTACAGCGCTAGCTCCAGTGCTAGCTCGGCTCAACCCTCTAAGCCTCGTCTTCTGGCAACGCAGTTTCACTCACTCCCTCGCAGCGTGGGTCCCTCCCGAACTCTTCTGCGGTCCGTCGGAGCAGGAACAATTGTCCAGGTTTGCTGAGGATCGAGTCTGAGCACTTTCTTTATGTTTTGAATACTTCACAGCCACACACCCTCGGCGGCCATTGCCGTGCCCTCTTTTTTCGTTCTCCTCCGCCCGCTTCGCGCGTCTTCTCCCTTCTTCTTCTTCTCCTTTTTTCGGTTGTCTTCTTTTGTGGTACACTCAAAACATTATGAATTAATAGAACATGAGATACCAACAATAAATTCCTCAACACCCATATAAAATGGCTATAACACTGTGCAACTGCACATTTTAACTCATTTATAATAAACGATGAAATTGCCTAATGATTTATCATGTGATGAGAACAAATACCTTACTGCATCACCATAAAGACAAAATACGCTCTGGTAAACAAAAGAAAACAATACTCTGATTCTGTGAATAATCAGATTACTACATAGCTATACAATGTCAGTAAAATCTCCCTCTCTCTCAAAAGCAGCTAATGTTCTGCTAAACAAATCTATTACACTACATGCATGCAAAAATGTATATTGATTTGCTTTTGCCTGGTCTACACAGTACGGAAGAGTAACACAGACATCACTACTTTCTCCTGAACATTTCACTTAGGTAAAAGCTTTAGAGAAATGTCTGTTAGGACTGCAGTGCTGGCAAATAGTGATGAGAATTACATTAACTTAATAGAAGAGAGATATGAAACATCCATCAATTACCTGCGACTGAATGAGGGCACAATAACTGAAGAAATTTTGCTGATCCTTTACTTAAGTGTAGAATTTTTTCAACACAAAAACAAACTGAAAACACTTTGCATGTCTGGATCTATGCATGTTTATTTGCACTCTGTACATATTTGTGGAGGGTCTGTACAGTAGATGCTGAATTTGCCTAACTGCTTTCTGTGCAGGATCCTTCTTTGCTAAGTCACTATACACAAGAAGTGAGCAGGATGAAGAAGAGGAAGAACGGTTGTCATTCAGAAAGAATGACTTACTGATGGTGAAGAGTACAGGGCAGGACCACATGTGGGAGGGTGCCATGCTCTCCACAGGAAACCATGGCCTTGTGCCGGTCAATGCCATGCAGCCACTGCCCTACCCCTTCTATCAGTGAGTCAGTCTGTTCCGTTTCAGTTACATTCTCTTGTCAAAACTTTGGCTGGATGAATGGAGCAGTTTTACAGGTGATGGACACTTTTGTTGGCATCATTATGTTAAACTGAACTTCTTGTTTGGCCAGGTGGTTCCTGAGGAAATACCCAGGATGTAGTGGATGCTCACCAACAGAAAAAGAATCGTTTGAACATCCATTTGGTAAAGCCATACATATACAGTAACAAACAAGACCCACTGTGCAGAATAGCACACTCACATGCAGAATGCTAGACTGCATGTAACTGGGGTTTTTAAAACCACTGTGTGGGGGGGATTTGAAAATGTCTTACTTTGAAGGTGGAGGTAGTATCAAAAATGACATTGCAGCAAATGGTTTAACCCAGACAAACCGAGCTGAATTAGCTAAAAGCATTGCATAGACTGCACTGGTTGTGTCATTTTTCTGCAAACAAAAACTTACTTGCCTCATCACCTGCTCTCAGTCACAGGTTCCTGTGTAGCAGTTGTTGACTACACTCCCATGGGGGCTGATGAGCTCCAGCTGAGCCAAGGTGACATTGTTGAGATCCAGGGTTTGCTAATCCGAGGCCTGGGCGAGTTCATAGGAAAACACACTACCACAGGACACATAGGTTTTGTACACAAAGCCCATGTCAAACCTCTGGACAGCATGGCTCTGTAAGCAGCTCCATTGTTTGTTTTTTTTTCAGTGTTATTAATACATAAAATAATTAGCCTGATGATGCTGTTGTCATTTCAACCATGTCAATTTTAAAACGTTTTGTTGCACATTATGATCAAATCTGCATTAGTTACCTCTTGTATATAGTCTTTCATTAATTGTTTATGAAATTCTGTTTCGTGTATCTGCAGTCTGGACAGGGTGGCTCCAGTGAGGAGGCGGCGAAGACAGTTGAGATGATAATGCTGCCTTTGTTTCCCTTGCACAGAGATGGACAATTGGTATTTCTGACAGAGGAGGAGAGGGCCAGACTGGCTCAGGTTAACTCATGTAGCTCTGAGCCAAGCGACACTAGCCTGCTGGAAAGACTCTTCTCATCCGACATCAGCTCTGTGTACAGGCTAGGTAATAGAACAACTAGGCTGATCAAGAGATATAGAACTTTATGTTGATTAGGGACATAGGGAGGTTTGTGTGAACCAGCCTTAACTGAAATATGCAGATTGAAGTGCAGCTCCTTGTTTCCAAAATGGTGGTGCTGTTTCATTCATTCTGGAAAAAATATGTTTCCATCTCTACTCCCAAATGGAAAGCGGACACTTAAATGAATTTACCTCCTGTGTTTTCAGATAGACTGGATGAGACTGACTTCATGTACATCAGGAATCGGCCAAAACATGGTAACGCTCTCCAATATTTTTTAGGAAATCTGTTGTTTTTGGCATTAATATAGTTGAATAGCTTGAAAAAATAATTTTTTATTAATTTCTTTGCACTGATATACCAGTGACTGACTACTATACTGTATCTTTTTTTACAACAGATCTTAAAGTTTCTACGAACACCCGTCAGAGTGTCATGTCTGAGAAAAGTGGAGGGACACCCTCATACCACTCATCCCCCTGCACCTCTCTCTCTCACTCCTCTCCCCATCTGTCCCGCTATCATTCCCACAATCCTCTACCACGTGTGGGAGAGCGCCTGAGCTTCACTTCGGATGACACGTTCAGGGAGCTAGATGAGTTCCAGGACGATCCATGTCTTTTCTTGGAGGAGAACAGCTGGGAAGCAGATGAGTCAGAGCTCAGTGACCCCACACTGACTCTGCTCAACCATGATCACTTCCAGGTTAGCAGAGTCTCAGGTCAATCATTCATTTATTATGGGGGCACGTCCCCAGAGCCAAACAGCAGAGTGTACAGTGGGCCCTTGTTTTCTAATTTTATGTCTACGGTGAACAGTAGAACCCCTTGATCATCTTCTATGATGGCCAATGGATCTAACTGACAGTGAGTGTAGTACAGATACATGTTATTAGTCTGTAATGTATATTAAACATTAGGTAAAGTGTAATATAGATCAAACTGCCTCTGTTCATTGTTGTTTATATTTGTTTTTAATGAAATATGAAATATCTCTACATAAGAACTCAGTAGTTCACAGAAACACAGGCAGCATTTGGATAAAGTGAACACATATTCAAAATCTTTTTGTATTATTGATATTCAAGCTTTTTTTGAGTCAGATGATAGTGGTTTGGGCAAACATATCAATTTGAAGAGTCAAACACTTAACGCACATTCCAGCGTGAGTTCCTTAATAACAATAACTACACTTGTGACAGTAAACATCATTTTCACCTAACTTGACTCTAAATATTTTGTTTGCTGTCTCTTCCAGGAAGACTTCCTGCCACTGTACGACCTGCAGTATTCCTTCCTGTGGGTGACCTTCAGTGGTAAGACTGAGGACGAGCTCTCGGGGCACCTAGAGAGTGTCAGGGAGTGCGCCAAGAGGATGGGCATGCACTGGGCACATCGACGGGCATGCTTCCTCCTAGGAAGACTCTGTGCTAGGAAGCTAAAGTTCTCCCAGGTTTGAACTTCATTTACTAGTACTTAAAATAAATATGAGTCCTGGGTACATGACTGAATGCTTTATTTATCCCTAAAGGGAAGATTTAAGGAAAATAAGTCTTCCCAACTCACAGCGCATTGTCATTCATAAGTTGTTTTTTTTTATTGCTACTGCAAATTGACTTTCCTCAGAAGAAACAATAAAGTAAAATGAAGTGAACAAAATAATAATGACAATAGCCATTAAATAAAAGAAAATAAACTACTTTAAATAAAAAAAGCGTCTCCATCTTTACCTGCTGAGGCTTTTCCACATCTCTGCTGAAGTTCCCTTACAGCTGACATTTCTTTGTAACGAGCTCATACTTAGATTGTATGTTTCCACTGTTCCTCAGGCACGTGTGTACTATGAAGAGGCTCTGAGTGTTTGTGTGGACAGTTTCTCTGACACACCACTCCTGGTTGCTCTCTTTACAAATCTCACCGCTGTCTACCTGAAGCAACGCATGACAGACAAGCTGCCCCAGACCTTGGAGAAGGCCAGTGCTCTGCTCCTGTGTCTTCCCAGCCACACCTTCACTTCCACAGATGAGGTTGAACTGCTGAAGCTGCTCCTGAGGAGATCAGTGGTGATGGGGGACAAACACCTGGAGGCCCGTGTCTGCTACCTCATCTCCAGCCTTTTCTTGTATCTGAGAAAGACTGATGACGCACTTCCCTTTGTTGAGCGACTCCAGTTTCACTCAGTGATGCTCTCGGCTACCGAGGGGCGATCAGTTGTTCCTTTGGACCTCAACTGGCTTTTGAGTGGGCTCTATGATCGTAAATACCTGCCTCATTTAGCACTGGCCTCTTTGAGCCTAGACTCAAGACAAGACCACTCTCTCCAGGACGCTTTCCAGAGGACTGAGTTGTTTACCAGGAACTCTGCTCGTCTCAACCCGTGCTGGAAGGACGGAACCTCTCTGCTCCCTGCGCAGATTGTGGTTTACTTGCAGCAGGCTCTGGCTATAGCTGAGAGGGAAGAGGACATGAAGACCCAGAGAGACCTTTGTTTGGGCTTGGCTTCAGTCTACCAGCAATATAATGCTCTAGATAAGGCAGTTTGCTGTGCTCAGCAAGCTGTGGAGACAGGGGTCAACATCAATGAGGAGGAGGGTTTCGAGGCCTCTGTCCTGCTTGGGTGGCTACTGGTGTTGACAGACCGGGCTGAGAAGGCTCAGAGTGTCCTACAGCCACTGCTCACATCACTCCAGGTACTGAGATCAGTGCAGTTCAGTAGGAACAGTGTTTTGTTGTTGTTGTTGCTATTGTTACTGGTTTTACCTATGTGAATATCACATGTAACCTGTGCTTCTGTATACTGTACATCTCTGTCCAGAGCACAGACAGTCCTACACAGCGAGGAGTGATCCACAACCTTTTGGCTTTGTGTCTGAGGCAGCAGAGTCGCATACCAGAGGCAGGTTGGCATCTCCACTCGGCCTTGGTAATCTCCAGAGAGAGCGGTAACCAGAGGAACCAGGCCCTGGCACTGGCCAACCTGGGCTGTCTGGCACTTGATGTAGGGGCATCTTTGGTAGCAGAACGCTTCCTGGTCAGGTTAGATACCTGCCTAATTTTATGTTTTCTAAGTTGTACAATAGAGATGCTCTAATGAAATGTACACAGCATTTACATAGAATTATTTATTGTGATGGTAAACATATCACCAGATCGCTGCATCTTTTTTTGGAGCTCTGGGAAAACCACACTGATGAGGAGCATGTTCAGACCTACCTTTGGCTAGGGAGGAGCTACAAAGACAGAGGGAGCAGTCAGGACATCAGGACGTGTTATGAAATGGGGTTACTTATTGCACTTCATGCCAGAAACTTGCACAGTAAGTATAAATGAGGTAAAATGTGAACTGAAATAGACAAAATTTATTTTTCTTTGTACATTACTATTCCTTTTAAATTATTGTTTTTCTCATAGGTCAGATGGTGGTGGCCAAGGTGCTGAGTCGACTCTATGATGACATGCTGCTGTATGCTCAGAGTATTGTGTACTATGAACACTGCGTGGCAGTATCCAGAGAGCTGAAGGACAAGAGACTGGAGGGAGAGTACCTGGAAATCCTCAGCAGCCTGTATCTTTCACTCAACACTGAGAGGTGAATTTTTACCCCTCCTTTTCTCACCATCTTTTTCACAACATCTCTGTGTATTTTATGTTAATTTTAATTTTGTATATTTGTGGTGCAGATCATCTCGTAAGTCTCTGGACTACACCAAGCAGAGCCTGAGGATTTCTATTGATTTGGGCAAGAGAGAAGAAGAGTCAGAGACTTGGCTTCAAGTGGGGCGCATTTATTATCTCATCCAGGAGGATGAGCTGGCTGATATGTACCTGCAGGTGAGAAGAAGGCGATGTATGACAGTGTTGGGGGAATGGTTACATGAGGGGTAGGAACATGTTGCAGTTGATATTCCCTGTAGAGTGTGTAGGCACTCCTTATTCCGAAGGAGCAGTGACGAATATCACATATAACTAAGGTTCACTTTCTAATGCTAGGTATACTGTACAATCCGTTTTAATTGACAGTATAAATTGATTGACAGGCAGCAGTGAAGACTGCCCTGAGGATGAATGACCCTCACTTTGCCATGAGCATCTATGAGGAGGCAGGAGATGTTTACTTTAAAGGCCACAGGAACCGAATAGCTTCACTGCCTTTCTACAGGGTAAGAGGAGGCTAAATAAAATCCACCTGATGTATTTTGATGTGTCTGAAAACTGCAGTGTCACAACTAAGTTTTATTTTGACTGCATTCAGTGTTTTTTTTTTTAATGTACATATCAATGACATAACTAGACTAAGTAACAAAATGATTCATATGTTTTCAGGATGGCAGTTTGCCATTTGCCCGCAGCATTAAAGACATCCATTCAGAGTTTCGTTTGTTGAGTAAACTGACAGAGCTGTTGATGAACCAGGGAGAACAGGAGGAGGCACTGCAATATGCAACGCTGGCTGTTCAGATTGCCAGCAAAACAGGTATAGAATAGGGCCAAAAGTAAAGTCAGTGTCTTTAACTTTTAAGGCACAGCCAGCTACACCATCCTTAGTGTAGCTGACTTAAAACTAGCCCATTTTGTGAGCAGAGTCCATTGTGTTTTGTTTTTTTTTAATTCAGGTGTGCGTGAGAATGAGAGGACAGCCTACCACAGACTAGCTACAGTCTACTACAGCCTACAGCAGTATGAGATGGCAGAAAACTACTACATCAAGTCCCTGTCTCTGTGTCCACCCATCCTGCAGCACCCCATGGAGGCTCGCTACTACGCTAAGGTCTACTGCAGACTGGGAAATTTCACTCTACACAAACTCAAGGTGCGGTACAGAATAGGAATATATTTCTGTGACTGTACTGCATGAGTAAACTGAATATACTAGTATGTTCCTCAGATCTGTGACACAATCTGTAAACAAATGTCTTGTACCCCCTTCAACAAAATTCAAAGCTCAAGACTCCTCTGTTGTTAATTTTTGTTAGCAGTAAAACGGACTCTTGAATTTTCATGGGAAAAACAAATATTTCTCAAAATGACTAAAAATAAGGCAATTAGTGTGTCCTAGTAATGACACATTGGCTTCATGTCCACATTCCTGTGGCTAAGCTCTTTTCCAACCTGTCCTAAAAGAAATCACTTTAGATCTTGACAGAGCAACAGAAACATTGTCTTGACAATAGGTTTTTGTGGTCAAAATCTAACCTTCAAATAGGAATATTATTGTATGTGATCAGAACAGGTCACTGACCTGTTCTGATCTTTGCACTGTATTCTCTGTCCAGGATGCTTTTGATGCAGTGGGCTACTTCCAGTTGGCCCTGGCAGCGGCCCTGGAGGACCAAGCTAACCCTGAGGCTCTGTATGTGGTCTACATGAAGCTAGCAGAGATCCATGGCAACCACTTGCCCGACGCTCAGCTGTGCCAAGTTTACAGAGACAGAGCCCAGAGTCTGAAGAGAGTTCTGGCTAGAGAGGAAGGCACCGCTGCTGGAGTGGAAAACATAGACAATGCAGACACAGAGCATGGCCAAAAGAAGGAAGGGGACTCAGACACTGATATGGGACATACAGAAAAGCAAAATGGCATCTCTGATTCAATACCTGAAAATAAAATGTATGACGGCGGGTCAGCTCCCAGGACTAGTATGATCCATGTAGGCTCAGACTGTAAATGTACAGACACTATTGTGAAAGAGGATCCCAATCTACATCTTCCTGATACAGATGGTCCTTATGTGGACGCAGCTGGGTCTGAGACAGACATCCACGCCCGTCACTCATGCAGTGACAGTGTTGTCACTGAGTCCTTTGATACAGCGAAGGAGCACATCTCAGATTTCAGCACCTCCAGTGACACTTTACAAATGTACCACAATTCAACAGATAAGAAGGACTCAAACTTTGATTCTGATCACAGCGTTCCTGGACAAATACCAAATAACATCACAAGACACACAGACACCAAAGGCACTGATTCTGATATTCACTATGAACAAAACATCCCAGTTAAAGAAACAGATGCCGAAGTGGATTCTGGTCAAAAAGATGTCAGTCTTGAGGACAATCAGTCTGATAATGACCACAGACAGAAATAAAAACTGTAGACATAAATACTGATAAAGCTTTAAGTGTGGACCACACTTAAAGAGACCACACAGAAACTGCTGAGAGACACAGTGAACTTATGGACTTAGGTGATGTCTACACATAGTAGCATTTTACGTTCTTCTCTGTCATTTCCTTGGTCTGGTCACATATGTCTTGACCAGCAAACCGACTGTAACGTTCCAGCCACAAAGGCACTTACTGTAAGACAGATGATGTCAATACTGTAAAGTTATAAGAGACTGAGTAAATTCAAAGCATGTGCCTTCTGTATAATATATAATGTGATTATTACAGTGTGTTGTGCTTGTAATATGTTTTCTAATTTTTTTTGTATTGCTGGAAGATATGACATAAAGGATGTTATTTTGTTTGCTGAGTATTTATTGTGTGCATTTGTAGATTTGAATAGAAGAGATGTGGACTGGACAAAACACACAAACCAGAACACATGATGAATCTCACATGAATTTCAGAAAAAGCACTCATTTACTTTCTATTTAGAACCTTTACCTCAAAGAAACATGGTAAGGCGTCAAAGCAAAACTACTCAATTATATTTAAGATTCATTACATTCAAAATCTGGCCTAAGTTCAAGTAGAGAAGTCATATCAGCAGCACTGACAGTAAGAAAAATGCATTTATATTATCATAAACAAAAGTACTCACTGTGCAGCACAGACTCAAGCCTACAATTGCACAACTCTCTAGGAATTTTCCAGGTAAGATAATGTAGCACTAATTAAAAAAAAATTATTCCTGAAAGAAAAGCAACATTCAAATCCAAATAAATATTTGTTCCATTATTCATTTGTTACAGAAAACTTAAGTGGTGTTTAATGTGTTGAACTGTCTGCTTCCCTTTGGCAAATTTTACTTTTCCAGCTGCCATCCAAGACTTTCTAGGTTACACCAGCAATTCTTTAAATGGAGGTGTACCAGCAGAATACTGTCTGTACTGTAGAGCCAGCCTTCTCCTTAACAAAAAAAAAAACAAATATATTTGACAAAGAGATCATAAAAAAGTCAATTACTGACTTCTGGCCATTATAGAAATTAATTTATTTACTTGTAGCTGCATGGTATACATTTTTTTGGATGCTGTGGTGCTAACATGCTGTTAGTGAAAGTGATGATCACATTTCTTATTATTATTGGCAATGTAATCATCACTTTCACTTTTTTTCTATTAAGTGGCCTCTCATGTGCATTTCACTAGGTAGCACTACAGCTGGACAACTTTAGGTGAAGTGATGAAATGGGGTAGTGATGCTTGGTGACTGTCAGTGAGGTTGCTGTTGTTTGAGCATTAGTTGCTTAGCAACTGTATGTTGCTTGTTGACTGCTGAGTTGTAGCTTAATGTTTGAGTGGCTTGGGCAAGGATTCGGAGGGTTTTGGGCATACTATGATCCCCCAAAGTAGGAAGGAGGAAAGATGGTGAGGGATAGGAAGATCGGAAAGGAAAGGAAGATGACAAGAGAAGTAAAGGCAGGTGGGAGAGAAGGAGGGTAATAAGAAACAAAAGAACCCCATGGCAAGGATACAGAAGTATGTATAGGCAGCTGACTGGATCCTATCACAGCTGAGACTGAATGAGAGGCAGGGTACACCCTGGACACACAAAAAGCCAACAGTGGTAATCACTGCTCCACCATGCACCCCATTATTATTATTATTATTATTATTATGTGTTTTCTGATTTGCACAACATTGTTGCCACTGTCCAGCAGATTTATTCTGACAATAATGCCATCGAAGTGCCACAAGAGAGAGCTACTGTATTAGATTGATGCTTAGCTGCAAAAGCTGTCATGGTGGTATTGTTCCTCATTTTAGCCAGAGGTGGGCAGTGAAAGACAACGCCTAGCCACCACCTGCCTTGCATCAGCTCCAACTGCCTCTTACAACAGGTGTGAGAGAGAAAAGGGACAGACAAAAAGATTTGTGTCATTTGTATTTGCATTTAGGACTTGGACTCATGTGATGTCCACCAATGACATCAATCTGTGCAGGAAATTTCTTGTATGACACCGAGTAAGAAGCAGAGGCAGTTTGTGTGTGTGTGTGTGTGTGTGTGTGTATGTGCTAATAAAATACACCATGGGGCGAGTTTAAAATTCAGACAATAATATCTATAGTATTGATTTGGTCAGTACATAAGGTCCTGCTTGAATTTAACCACACTTTGGAAAGAAAACCTGATGGTATTTCCTGAATTGCAGTAATCAGATATTAGCTAGTCTACATATTATAGTGCTAACGCAATAGAAAATGGCACAGAAAAAAAACTAGCAAGTAAAAGTGAAAGTTCAGGAAAGGGCAAACAAAAGGTTTAAGGTTGTTGTACGGCAGTAAGGAATGTTTGCATACATGATCTGCATGCTGAATAATGTCACAGGGTTTCTTCCTCCCTCCCACAGGCTGCACACAAGTTCAAAACCAGTTTCAATGTGCCAAAACAAACACTGAATTGTTCTTCCTTTTTAAGTATTACCAGGGTTACTGGGCTACTGAACATCAGGGATTTATGACTAATAAATTTACACTCAGTAAATTACAGTACATATGTGGAAGTACAGAATCCATTAATATCACTATTAGCAAAACACAGGATTGAATGCTTTCATGTGACCCAAAAATAAACAATTTGTGAAAGGCATAATTTGTATTGTCTCATCTCCTTGGCTTAAAAAAGAACTTCCTTCCAAAACAAGCTTCATTTGTCCTGGATGACATTGTCAGATCTCTTGGTTAACAGTTTCATAAAGCAACACTACTTCGAAGCCATGCACAAATATTTTTATATCCAAACAAAGTATTAAGAATTTGCATTCCTTTCATGTCTCTTCTGTACAAACAATGTGTCTGAAGCTCAAAACTGAAGAAATGAAATTAAGTGTAGGTAGCACCTATTCACAAGTAAACCTTGATTCATTGATCCAAAACAACTGAGGATATTAGGATAGAAAAACAAAAAGTAGCTTGAATGCTGAAATAAAAAACTGATACTGAATAGAAATGCATGTCACAATTTTGTGTGTCATACATACATACCAAGTACCACTAAGTCATGGGTTCCTGGGAAGCATCATTCCCCATGGACCATAATTCATTCGGGGAAGTAACCTTTTATGATTTTTTTTTTAACAGACAAGATGTGTGTGTGAGAATGCACTGGAACCAACTGAGCCTTGAAGACAACCAAGAAGCTGTGCTTTTAGGAAACCTTGGCCCTGGCTCTCTCAGAATCATGCTCACATCACTGTACACTGCCAAACCTTTTAAGGTGGAAGAGAATAATGGCATTCTATGTGTACATTTTTTGGCTTCATATTCTGTTTGTCTATTGTACCCACCCTAAATTAACCCATGCAGTGGGGAGAATCTGTCGTTTTCCTAAGATTAATCATTTAATTTAGTGAGAAACATTAATCCTTACATCTATAAAATTTTTTAGATAGCAACACATTAACTTGGGGTGACTGTGGTTTAGTGGGTAGAGCAGTCGTCTCCCAACCGGAGGATCAGAGATTCGAATCACGGTGCCTGCAGTCCACATGTCAAAGTGTCCTTGGGAAAGACACTGAGCCCCAATTTTCCCCGATGGTTAGAGCCATCAGTGTGAGTTGGTGCCACAGATGGCTGCCTCGGTTCTGTATCGGAAACAAATTCCTTGTGTGTAACATACTTGGCCAAATGAAGATGATTATCCTTATCCTTATTATCCTAACTTGTCAAAGTGAAAGCAACACCTAAGAGTGAAATCCTTTGATATAATTACCCTGAATTTGGGGGGGAACCCTAATAACTTCTTTTAATGTTGTTATAAAATCATAAATTATTATTAAAAACCTTTTGTCAATCTTATAATAAAGTGCTTCGAAGATGAAAAGTGATACCTAAGTGTAAAATCCTTTAAAAAATGTAATTAGCAGGAAAACACTTGACAGCCTTAGACCTAGATGGAAGCGAACTGCAAAAAGGAGGCGGAGCCAAAAAGCCATAAGTCATGCCATAAATCATCACTTCTCACCTCAGTCTGACAGATGGGGCATTCTGTTACTCTATAGTGGGTGGGTACAATAAACAAAAATGTACACATAGAATGCAAATTGGAATTGTGATTTGTTTACACAAGGAGAAGTGTAAAATTTGTTAAACACATACCTACATTTTTTTACACAATAGATCTGTAATAAGCTTAACCAGTCAGGAAGGTCTTTAAATAAATGATGAAAAAATGTATCAAAGAAAATAAACTTTGGAAAGGTTGTGAGTCACACTTCCTTTGTTTGTACTGTTTTTCCCTTATTTGTATTGTAGTGTACAGCTCAACAGAAATACAGTACATGCACGCTTTGTTGGACACAAACAGTCTCTACCTCAAGTCTCCTCCCTGCCCTGTCCTTCGCCACCACACTTCTCATTCTCCAAGGACAATAGCTCTCTTCTATGCTACATTATCCTTCACCACTGTGACATATGAATGACTTTTAACACATTCACCCAACCACATCATGCAGACAGTGCATCATTTTTTCCAGTTTTCTTTCCATCATGGATGATTGGAGAGTGCGTGCTCTCTGTAATAGTAAGGAAAACTGACAGTTTAAGGTTAACCCCCCCCCTATCTGAAGACGTTCTTACAGCAAATCAAACACTATCCATGCTATCAGAGCCCTGTTGTGACCTCAGTAAGGTCAAGGTAAATAGCAGCAATTAAAGTAGCTGGTGATGAAAGCTTAGCTAGTGGGATTAGCTCTGGTTTCACTGTCTGTCTATACAGAGTTTAATTAAAAGAGGTTCAAGTTCAGGCATCTGATAATTCTCATTGGCTATGAGCTATTACATGAAGCTGCAAATGTATGGTTGGTTAAGGTTTCAATAACAGGCCTTTTGAGTTCCGTGCATGTGAGCTGATTTGAGCATCATATTCTACATAACATTGAGTTGTTGCGCTTTGCAAAGTTCATGCAGTTTGTCTGGCATTCTATTTTTAAAAAATGTAAATAAATGGTGGAATTTCTTAATGTTTATACTTCATTGCTTTCTTTTGCCATGACAAGTATTTCGAAACAGTTGCTAGCTGTTCAGTTAGCAGTTGAAACAGCTATCTGTTTCTTCTGCCTCAAGCTATATTCATATCTGTAGCACCATATTAGGCATCTTTTTACTCAACAGACAAGCATCTTTGTTTTGCATTTAGTAGACACTGATAGCATGGTGGGGAGAACTTGACAAAGCTACTAACAAATAAAATTGCTTACCATTAAGAATACAACACTCTGGAGCTTGCTCACATTGATTCCTTGGAAGCAAATTATAACTGCTATTTTGTCAGATAATTGAGGCATTAGGAGAAAAAGAACATTTTAAATGGTACTTTTACACTGCTTCCTCTGTGCCAATTTATTCAAATTTAAACCAAAGGTCAGTCACTGACCGTAGCAACATAAAGCAAATAAGTGGCTGACACTTGAAATTAGGTAGCACTAATATATTTTTTCATCTTAGAAAACCAAAAACAGATGCAGTTGGTAGTCAGTCTGCATCACACAGGGCAACACTGGACTGTGTATCTGTTATCCAGAGATACAGAAACCGTTGAAATTTTAAATGATTAACTTACAGAAAGCAGCAGGCACAAGATGGTAAATGAGAAGAAGATTAAAAATTAGAAATAAACCAGCAAGCACGGGAGATTCAGGGATCCACACACCACCATCACTGATTCATGTGCATGTTCTGTTTGGCTTAACTTTGAAATTTTTAACCAGCAGCAAGCTGTCAGTGGTGTCCTTTGAGTAAACTGAAATCTGACAGTAAGCCTGCTGGCAGTTAGCATGCTAGTTAGCTTAGGAAGCATATTTTCCTCTTCTAAAATAATTGTTACTGGTTGAAATGATGTATAATCACAAGAACAAAATTCCAGGAGGGGAATACAAGGAACATCTATTCATTATCTATGCCTCTTATCCTGTAGAGTGTTGTGGAGGGTCTGGAGCCAATCCGAGCAAACACTGGGCGCCAGTCTATCGCAGGGTTGACACATAGAGACAGACAACCATCCGCAATCACATTCAGAGCTTCTGAGGCGTGTTTTACAACGTTTTCTTTGGCCTTGAAAACCGAATGAAGCCCATCTTTTGAATTCATATTTGCTTTTATAACCTCAGGTCAGGTGGAGCTAGTTTTTTAGGGGTGGACAAGCTATGATTTTAGATGTGCCTATGCGTGCACATACATCCACATGCTCTGAAACATACACACACATCCTAGTAAGGCCCTTGAGAGCAAGGGGACTGCAGACATTACGGTGCCTTGGTCACCAAAGTGCCAGGGGACTTAACGATTTGTCAGAAACAGCATTTTCACATGCTCACACCCTGTATACAGTCATCCCTACCCAAAGCAGACTCCTTCTTTCCAGAGAATTTTCCCTTCCTGGTGTTTTTTTTTAATTTTAACAGTGAGATGATAGATCTACATATGGGAAAATTGCCTTATTATCTTAGTCTTCTTCGATTCTTGAAGCCTGATTATAGATATTACCATGCAAAGGCTTATTTGAAAGCCTGAGCTAAATTATGACAAAATAAGTTGGGCATGATTTCTTGAAGTTTCTTTGTCAGTAATGAAAGTTGTTTATCAAGCTCCAAAGAGCATGAGGCAGATCTCATGGAATTATGCCTGCGCACGTCCCTGTGGAAGTGCCTCAGTGCACTTCTAAACCCCTGAAAAACATGGAGCATTTTTTGACACAAACTAAAATTGCAATCTGGCACTGTAGGGGAAAACTTGAGTTTTAAAGGATTAAAGGGTAAGGGTAGTGAAGAGCTCTCGGGCACAAAAGTGGATATAGTTACACTGAAGATGTCTCTGCTACAACACTGATGCTGAACTGTGAAATTCAAGTGCAGGAGGGAGGCATGAATAATGAGCTGATAAAAACTTTTAGACTGTTTATGTAATATAAAAATAAGTTTAGAGCTGACTGTCCAGTGTTTACAGTTGTTCAGATACTGCAGCAATGCTCTGTACGTTCACAATGTCCTCAGTGTTCTGCAATTGACTGTTCGCTGAGCCATTAGTTACTGTTGCTTTGCCTGTCAAGCGTTCCACTTTTATAACGAACAATTTCCAATGAGTCTTTGATTTCAAACAGAGGTAGCTAGACAGGAGCAACTTAAAAAAATATAAAACATATAAAATAGTCTTTAATATGCATTTCATGCCTACATATTGCTGTAAGCTAGTTATCTTAACATTTGGAGGAGTCTCACAACTGGTTGTAATTCTCAATTTGCAAAATTCACAATATGAAAGGTAAAGGGATGGAGAAAAATTACAGGATATATAATCCACTAAGTCATACAAAGTAAAACTTGTCCTATGGAGCATATCATGTTTCATGCTGCTTTGTCAAAAGAAGAAAGAGAAAAGAGCACTGTGGCTCATGAAAGCACATTATCTCATTTCAAAACAGTGTCTAATGTCTTTAGTTGCCATGTTAACTGATTTAGCTACTACATGCCCATTGTTTTGTTCATGGTTTCTATCAAACTGCATTACTTACCATGGTAACTACCCTTAAGGTTTTTAGGCAAGGCAAGATTTTTTTAATCAATATTTAGCAGATAAACATACAATCCCAAATCAAAAATCTAAATTAACCCTGAAAATAGTGATGTGTAAATCATCTTTGTCCTGTATTACGTTGAAAACAACACAGCAGCACATTATTTGATGTGACAACTCATCAATTTTATTCTTTGTTCACAATAAACACTGCCTTTAATCCTGATGCCTGCAACACATTCCAAAAACAGTTGGGCTGGCTGCATTTCAGGCCCAGTAATGAGGTAAAACAATGAACTAATGATTCCATTTGAAACAGGTGATGTCAACAGGTGACTGCATCATGATTTGGTACAAAAGTGGCATCCAGGAAAGGCCGAGCCCTTTAGGAGCAAAGATGAGCCGAGGACCACCAGTTTGACAACATATGTGTGAGAAAATTATTATTATTAAAAACAATGTTCTTCAAAGAAATAGGAAGGGATTTGGATATGTCACCCTCTATGGGGCATAACATCAAAGATTTAAAGAATCCGTGTGTAAAGGGCAAGGGAGCAAGTCTAAGCTGGATGACCGTGATCTCCGATCCCTCAGGTGGCACTGCATCGAGAATCATCACTCTTCTTTAAGCTCAGGATTACTTTGGCACATCTGTATCGGACACTACAATACATAGTTACATCCATAAATGCCATTTAAAACTGTACTGTGCCAAAAGGAAGCCCTATGTCAACAGTGTCCAGAGGTGTAGTTGACTGCTCTGGGCTCAGAGGCATCTGGGACGGACCATCACACAGTGGAAACGTGTACTGTGGTCAGATGAATCAGTGCTTCAGGTTTTTTTTAGAAGGAATGGACAAAGGTGACTTACACTTCTGTGATGGCGCCATTAATGCTGTAAAATACAGAGAGATGTTTGAGCCGCATGTGTTGCCTTCAAGACGACATCTCTTCCAGTGATGTCCATGCAAATTTCAACAAGATAATGCAAAAACTCATACTGCACATTACCAAGGCCTGGCTGTGGAGGAAAAGGGTGTGAGTGCTGGACTGGCCTGTCTGCAGCCCTGACCTGTCCCCAACAGAGAATGTGTCAGTTTGAAATGAAAACTGTGTAAATGAAGATCCGGGACTGTTGTGCACCTTAAGACTTGTTTGCAGGAAGAATGGGACAAAATTACACTTGACACATTTAATCACTTGGTGTCCTCAGTCTGTAAATGTCTTTTAAGTGTTGTGAAAAGGAACAGCAACATCACACCGTGGTAAATGCTTTACTGTCCCAACTTTTTTGGAATGTGATGCAGGGACCAGAATTGAGGTGCTTATTTTGAAAAAGGAATAAAATTTGATAAGGTATCACATCAAATCATGTGCTGCTGTATTGTTTTCAGTGTAATACAGGACACAGATGATTACAAATAACTATACAGTGTTAATTTTGATTTTACATACCGTCCCAACTTTTTGGGATTTGGGGCTGTATTTTATCCTAAAAAGAATGGAAAACACTTTTCACTCCAGCTAAATGCCAAATATTAGGATTGAAACTGTTTTGTGGTTTAACAGATTTATGGTTCTATATGTCTCTGCTCTTTTGAATTGTTGTGATAGAATTGTGTGCCCTGTATAAACTATGACTATTTAGAGCATTGGACAGATGTGCAGTTTCAAAAGGAGAGTGGAAACATTTTCATAATGTCCTGATCTCTTTCCTTTCCATCATTCCATCTGGATCACATATTGGTGGCTGGTTTTGCCATACTGAAAACCTTCAGTCATCATGAAGGCCGGATGCATTTAGATAGGTTCACTCACTAATGGTCATAAAGAACAAATCAGTGAAAACATTACAGTACATGCAACATGTACATAATTTATTTTAATACAAATGTTACAGCACATACAGTTTTGCTTTTTACTTAAATACCACAGGACATCACATATTGTAACAGGCTTCGTTATCTGAATAAACAGTGACAAAAACGTGCCAAAATAGCTTGCAAACATTTAGTAAACATTCAGCTGAGTGACAACTTTTTTCACTCTGGCCACAAAATAAGTTCACATATGATAGGTTTACTTGTCATATGACAGCTGAAGCAATATTTAACTTTCATAGAAAATTCACATTTACACACAATTTATTAGAATAGTTTACTTTCAACAATGTCTGTGCTGAGATTCTGCAGCAATCGTTCATGTCTGTTTTTAGTCACAAACAAGGAAAAGACCTTCCACACAAATATTATGGTACAATAGAACAGGTATAGCTCTCCACACATAATTTGTTTAAAGTTCATGAACTCAAATGCAGATTCTCTTGTTCAAAAACATTACAGATGTTTCATGAAAGTGCTATACAGTGCTGCTTTAAGTTACTAAACAGGATTTGGGGCAAAATGACTTTTATTCAGTAGAAACCATACTGGATCAGTGAGGACAGCTCTGACATTAGCCCACCTGAACCTGGATCACATAAAATTAATGACACTGATTATATTATTTTACACTGAAAATACAGGTGCCAGACTTTAATATGTTTTTTAAGACTTGTCTGTAACCCAGAATCCACTTCTGAAAGAACCTTTTATCTTACCAGTGGTCTAAATGGATAACTTGGTGCCAAACTGAAAGTACACTGCATACATCACTAAGCACTGTATACGGTTTAAATCCATCAGCTGTACTTGGAATGTTGTAGTGTCAGCTCATCATTCAAGACTTATAGCAGATACCTGCGATGTGTCCTTCAGCATGAGGAGGTGAAGACATGAATTAAATACCTTATTATATGGACTTATTGATGAAATAGTAACCATTAATAAGTCTCAGACAGCTGAGGTGCAAGGAGAGGCCACTGCCAGGAGGGAGCAGCGTGGACATGTAGTTCAAAACCTACTCTTTTTTATAATTGTACATACAAAGCTTTTTTTTATCTAGCAATGACTAAGTAATTTGGTGTCAGTGCTTCAACTAACTGAGTGAATAAATACAATAGTCATCTAACAAAATCTTGGTCTAAAATATTTATCTGTTTTATGCTTAGTGTGTGAAAATGCACTTAAAAAAACCTGAAAACATTTATTATTACATTGAACCCCTGAATTTACTTTGCTGTAAATCCATGAAAGGAAACTATTAAAAGAAAAAAAAAATCAACATATGGAAAAGCTGACCTATGATGACGCCATAGTTCTGTCTATCCCTAAGGTAAAAGCACTGACTAAACCTATCTGTACAGTACATAGCGATTCCTCTGAGGGAACAAAGTTCACAGTTTTGATGGTGTCAGCTGACCTCACTCCAGAGGTAATGCCACTTGCAACACAGGTCACTAACACCGATTTAGAATGACAGAGAATCCCTTCTCGCCCCCTTGCCTTTAGTAGCCACATTTAGCATGCTGTCATTTTGCTCAGAACATACTCGAGATCAAGCTAACTGGGGGAAAGGGGTACAGCTACAGCAACACCTCCATTATTTTTCTTCAGAGTACTAATTTTACAAGCTATTTAGTCTGGGAAATCTGGGTTCAAATTTCCAATTAAAGCTCTGTGTCCTCATTCTACTTTAACATTTACATAAGTAAAAAAGTGACATTCCCAAGAGCCTGCGATCTTAAAATGTGTCATAACAGAGTGTCATCACAACCTGTAAACTGTATACTTTATAATCTTATAACCTATTTTGATGTCATTTTTCAAGAGGGACTTATCTGATTTTCTAGCTAAACAGCAGTGATAATGTAATTTTTCATGTTTATTGAGCTTCGCTCAGATGGATTGGGGCATTTTCTGGACACAGCGAACCAAAAAATTACCTATAGGTCACTGACTCTAACTGACTGAAACAGCTGGAACAGCTTAGACTCTGTTCTGCTGACATCTGAGTGTCTTATGCAAATGTTAGACTGACTTTTTAAAGATCCAGACATCTGTTTACACTGAGAAGACTCTGGGAAATGTCAGGGCACAGCAACAAAGGTGCAATGCTAAGGAGTGCTCCAGGAGATTTCTGTTTATTTTCCTGAGTAGTTAACATCACCCCGTCCCAAGCCTGGAACTTTGTTATCACATGGCTTTCGACACACTGTTTATTATTATGTATGGTTGTACCTTTGTACCATGGCTAAAAAAAAACTGTTTCTCAGGTTTCAGTAAACACTGTACATGCTGAAACAACAACTACAAAATTTAAGTGCAACATTTGGAACAACTGTTAATGCTACTGGCACATGCAGAGAGAGGGTAGACTCAGTTTGCCTTTCACTTGTGTAATGGCTATATAATGTACCAAATAGTGATTAACTGTACATCATGCACAGTAGCAAAAACGTGCATTAAAATATACACATATAACAGCTAGAAGCCTTAAAGTTCAATACCCAGGGTCAACCATATTAAACATAATTCATCTGCTTTGCACTAAAAATATGTCTTGAAGGAAGGTAATGGAATCTGTCTGATACAACGTATACAGACTTACACATTTTATCATATGACTCACAGAGGACAGCCCAAGCAGCTTCTCAGCTTGCACCAGTGAGATGTCCTGAACTGTCATATCTCTGGTGTTATCTGCTGACAACAGAAACTCCCATGCAACAGCTGCAAATAAGACGAGCAGGGCCTCACAAACATTGCTGAGACATGAGTAAAGACAGAGAGAAAGGCAGGTTCTGCCACACCTGCTGCTGATCATTTTTCAATCCATCAAAAAGGAAAAATAATAATAATCATAACAAAGCCAAATTATAACTTTCTTGACTTGGAATGTATTTTAAGAGGCATTATAATTGATCCTTCAAGACTCCCTGTCCATTTTCTAATGGAAATAACTTAATCTGTGTTGAATTGGCATGCTCAAATGGAATTTACAGCCTCAAACAACATTTACTTTAAACTTAAAAAGATTTTTATGCTAGTAAATGATGGGATCTTCTGCCATGCATGAAATAAAAACAACATGCCTACAAATTCAGTTGCAGTCAGATAATGTGCACTTACTATACACAATCTCCAGGCCATTTAGTAGAGTAAATAAAGATGTAATGAGGTAGATGTAAAATCGCTATATGTGTAATAAACTGCAAAATTATCTACCTACAATATCTAGTCACTGGATTTGAGGAGGAAAGAAATGCTTTTCTCAGCTGAACATGATAACGATTTCTTTAAAGCAGTTTCCATAGACTGTGCTAGTGAGTTTGACTGGCCCTACCTTCATCAGTCAGTTGGACTAAAGTTTATGGTAGCAGTGTAAACATGTCTGGATCGCACTGTTTACACAAGTTTCAGAGTTCTGAGTTTAAAGAACAGTTGTTACAGTCATTAGTCCTTTGCTGCAGTTCCCATTGGGGTCCACTGCTCTGTCCACAACACTGCAAACCCCCGGTCCTTTCCCCAGACACCCTTCACTGGGGTCACCGTCATCTGAGTTGCCCTTACTCCTTCCTAGCTGCTCGCTCTGCCAGCTGTGCCTGCTATAGATGTATCCATTCACAGGTCCCGGGTTTTTGAGGTGGTTCCTCTTCATGCAGAGGATTTCTTTGAAGGCATACCTGAACTCTGGACTCCGGCAGTAAATGAACGGGTTAAAGGCAGAGTTGGCGTAACCTATCCAGTTAAGTATCCTGAAGGCGAGGTCAATGCCCTCCACCTTCCAGATGGCCACCACCACATTGAGCAGAAAGAACGGCAGCCAGCACAGAGTGAATATCCCCATGATGATGCCCAGTGTCTTTAGAGCTTTGTGTTCCCGCAGGCAAAACTTCATCTTCTTGTGGGCGCGCCCATTATTGCCCTCTAGAGATTTGAGGTTGCTAATGTCACTGGTATGAAAACGTCCGACACTTTGGTCAATCTTCTTCAGTTGGCGCTTGGCCTCCTGGAAAACACGGCTGTAGACAAAAACCATGATGACCAAAGGGATGTAGAAGGAGATGATGGAGGAGGTGATGGCATAAGCCATGTTGGTGTAGAACTCACAGCAGTTACTGTCCTCGATGCACTCCTTAGCTACTTTATCATCTGATAACCACCACTTCATGTGTATGGGCAGAAAAGATATCAAGGCGGCAATCACCCACACCAGCACAACCACAATGCGAGCCTTGCACTTGGTCACCAGTGACTGATAGCGGAAGGGAGAAGTAATGGCCAAATAACGGTCTATAGCTATCACACACAGGGTCTCGATGCTTGCAGTCACACAGAGCACATCAGTCGCAGTCCAGAATTCACACCAGAAGCCACCAAAGTGCCAGGTCTTAAAGATGATGTAACAGGCGCCAAAAGGAATCACAATAAGACCCATGACCAAGTCAGCACAGGCCAGGGACGTGATGAAACAGTTGGTGACATTTTGGAGACGCTGGAAGCGAGCAATCGCAGTGATGACCAGGATGTTGCCAAAGACAATGCACAGAACAAGCAAGGACATGATCATGCCCAGCAGGATCATTGTTACCTCGCTGTAACCCTCCTCGTGCTTAGATGGGTCTGATGACAAGTTGAACATCTCTGCACTCACATTGCAGTAGATTGGGGGGGTTGGACTTCCCATCTGAAGAGACCATATGTGGATAACACAAACACATGTACACACACACACCCACACCCAGACAGACACACACATACAGGGAGGTGAATATTTTAATTTATATCTAAAAACGCCCTGATAAAAAAAACTAGCACTGCTCCTAGAACTGCATATAAAACTGTCACTAACAAATTTGCACTGATGTGTGTGCCGTTTGTTTTATTTTCACCAAAAAGTAGAAGAAAAATTACAGAACCGACACCATAAAACAAATGTAATGCACCCTGTTAGGCTTTAGCAAGCACAGCTTAAAGAACATGAAACAAACCATCTAAAAATAAAACTACAAACCTCCACAGGTAGTTGTCTTGGTTCCTGCCTTCCACATAAAGTAGAAATGTAACTGTTCAGGTAGGTCCTGCCAAGTATTCAGCGTCACATGTCCTTTCTACTTTATGTTTTTCTCCGTGCGCCTCACTGACTGTGTCTCAGCTGAGCAGTGTTTCTTCTAGTGTGTCTCCCAGGCTATTTGTCAGAGCACTTATAACGTGCAGTGATGACATCATGGTCAGTGCTCAGCCAATCACATAGCCAGCCTGCGGAGGGTGCTGCTAGCTCCTAAGAGTTTGAACACATTGTCCACGGCTGCAGGGTTGCTTGCTCTGACTTCTAAATCCACACCTTTACATCTTTTGAACACATGCAAACATTAGCACCAAAGTCCTTTGCTTACACAGAAATTCATGTACATTATCATGGTCAAAGTTGAAATAAAAAAGTAGCCCAGATACAGTTTTAGCTGTGCAGTCCATGCACTGCTGTGGTTTTACAGCTCTTGCTTGTTAGTTAGATCATAGTAAAACAGGTGAAGCTTTGTCTGAGTCTGTAAAGTGAGGAGAAAGTTGCATGGTGAACAAACTGGCAAGCTAAAGCAAGTTCAGTGTATAATCTATAATTTACTGGGAAGATTAAATATTACGGCTCCCCTCATCCAGACAAAACTTTGGTATGTTAGTGCTCTGTGCTTTTTTCATTTAACTTTATCTATAAAGTCTGTAACATAAAGCTAAGAGTGGTCAACAATTTGCAAATACTGTAGATAAAAAACAAAACATTTATGTGTACGTAATTTTACTAGGAAAGCACTGCAGAATGCAAAACTATAAATACTGCAAATAGAAGGAGGTTTTTAGGAGTCAGGACAAATTTGCATTTCTGTAAAGCTTACAGTCTAAAGCCCACAAAGAGAGCAACTATTCACTGAGGGTTTTTGTTTAGGTATCAGATATTTTATTTAAATTTTGGCACAAAATTAACTGTACCATCTATGCAGTAGCTAAACAAAATACAGAAGGCTGTGTGGGAACCGAAACGCTGCCAGTGACAGATGAAAAAGGGGCAAGAACACATTCACTAAATCACTGTGGGGTGTAAATGTGTTTTTTCTGCATCAGTTTGCACATCTGCTCTGCTTGTACTGAGTCAGCATAATATTTGCCCAGTAAATAATTTTCAGGATGAGTGTGCAACAACAGACATTTTCAAGTGTAAGTTGAGTGAGAATTGAGTTCGAAAGAGTTAAGAAGCACATCATCCTATTTAAAGTGAGAGCTCTGATAAATCCTAGACCATTTGGACTGGGGACTCACTGGAGAACAAAACCCTCTGTGGAAAGATTGCATCACACTGGTAATAAATGACAATCATAGATTTACTCTGTATACACATAAATGCACTGGACAACAGTAGGACTACTTGACTTTGAACACCATACGCCAGCCGTGTGCTGTAGATTGAGAACTTTTCATTCAGTATTTACTGCTTTTATTGTCACGTGCACAACTTTGCCTTTGACTGGCTTCTTTCAGACTTTCAGTCCCTGCCATGCTAACACTAGATTACTGCACTAATTTTGTTAGCGTTCTCTTTAACAAAAAAAAAAAAAGAGGAGGCAGTTTAGTTGAAATACAGTATAGCGTGAGGTCAAGCTTTGTCTGTGAATAATATAACCGCTATCATAAAGCATGGATCATAAACAGGGCTTTGAGTTGTTGTTTTAGATCTTAAAATTTGTGTGCACATCTGTGCTAACTTTACTGAGTGATGATGACACATGCATTTCCACCTGCTATAAATTTTATGTTGTTTTTGGGCCCTAAAAAATGTTGCTATGTTTACCCCAGGCCAGCTCTTTAGACCAAATCTCACTGGGCAGGCTATCATGAAACATGCTATAAATATTGTTGGCATGGATTTCTGACCCTCCTACCATTTGTCTAGTTACACAATTTTTTAAATTGCAATTTATCTTGGCTAGTTTCCACAAACAGGAATATTCATGATCCCAGGATTAATTCAAATGTTTTGATGGTCTCATGAGTTTCCTCTCGCACTCATCATATGGTAAAATTTTCACTTTTGCTCAAGATATAACAAAGTCTTACACACACGTTGCCCTGAAATGGACAGAGCACATCTCCTCTCCACAGAGCATGGGCCCTTTCCATTTTAAGGTCAAGGTCAGGTCAAGGGTTTACTGTCACATGTACAGTGAGGAAACATGTTTCCCTGAACAATGAAATTCTTACTTTGCTGTCCACACGAACGCCACAAATGAACGCTATAAGTGAACGCTATAAGTGAACGCTATAAGTGAAATATAACGCAGATACACAGGTAACACAAAATCTAAATCTAAGGCACTGTAAAACAGCCAATGAAAGAAGCATAATGAAGAATACAACAAGAACACAATATAATGAAGAGAGACTGTATGCTACATGGGAGCTGTGTGTGCAAATATTCAGCAGTGAGTGTGCAATTATGCATGTGTGAACTGAGTGTGTAGACAGTAGGCATGGAATTATATGAGGTAGATCCTGAGTCAGCTGTTTAGAAGTCTGATGGCAGTCGGAAAGAAAGAGTTCTTCAGTCTAGAGGTCCTGCATTTGAACCTCTGGCCGGAGGGTAGGTGTGTGACCAGTCGGTGCTGGGGATGGGTGGGATCTTTGAGGATGAAGGCAGCTTTCCTACGCACCCTGCGGCGGTAAATGCTCTGCAGAGAAGGCAGTGGAGTCCTGGTGATCTTCTCTGCAGTCTTTACCACTCTCTGCAGGCGCTTGCGGTCCATAGCAGTGGTCCTGCCATACCAGACAGTGATGCAGCTGGTCAAGATGCTCTCGACGGTGCAGATATAGAAGTTGCACAGGATCC